CAAGGTCTTCTGCAACATGGAGACGGGAGAGACCTGCGTCTACCCAACCCAGGCCACCATCGCCCAGAAGAACTGGTACGTCAGCAAGAATCCCAAGGAGAAGAAGCACGTCTGGTTCGGCGAAACGATGAGCGACGGCTTCCAGGTGAGCGGGGAGCCGCGGTGATGGTCGTGGTGGTGGCGATGGCCATGCTGGTGGCGGTGGTCATGGTGGTGATGATGGTTGTGACGATGACGGTAGCAGCAATGACCAAACAGTGTCTGACCCAACTTCTCCTCCGTTGCAGTTCGAATACGGCGGCGAGGGCTCCAACCCGGCCGACGTGGCCATCCAGCTGACCTTCCTGCGCCTGATGTCCACCGAGGCGTCCCAGAACATCACCTACCACTGCAAGAACAGCGTCGCCTACATGGACCGCGACAGCGGCAACCTGAAGAAGGCCCTGCTCCTGCAGGGCTCCAACGAGATCGAGATCCGGGCCGAAGGCAACAGCCGCTTCACCTACGGCGTCACCGAGGACGGCTGCACGGTGAGTGCCGGTGACGGCGTCGCGGGGGACACCAGCGGGGAGGTTCCTGTGACGTGGCGGGGGGTGGCGCCGAGCCTGACTGTCCCCTTCGCTTGCAGAGTCACACGGGAGCCTGGGGCAAGACAGTCATTGAGTACAAGACGACGAAGACCTCTCGCCTGCCCATCATCGATTTGGCCCCCATGGACGTTGGCGCTCCGGACCAGGAATTCGGCATCAACATCGGCCCCGTCTGCTTCTTGTAAACCGGAAACCCCACGCGTACAGGAAAGAGTCCATGCGTGGGGCTCCTCATGGGAATTAGGGATATGGAGGGGGCGAAGGGGGCACAGGGGAAGGGAGGTTGGTGTAAGTCAGCTCTGTGAGCCCTGGCCCAGCTGCCCTGGGTGGTACCAAGCACAGCCTGGGGACACAGGACACCTCTGCACCCCAGGGTGCCCCCTAAAACCAGAGGGAACCCAGTGCAGGGAGCAGAAGGAGGAACCCTAAGGGCCGCCCCCTCCCCAGTCTCCCAAAGCCCCCCATCCATCTCCTGCCGGAGCCGAGGGGCTGCGGGCATCGGCCCGGGT